CACAGGGAAAGAGGGACTCAGAGACAGAAAGAATATAGCTGAGGCCTGAGAAGAAACTGGGGGAGGGAGGGTCTGGAGGGGCAAAAGGGTATCCCAGTCTCCTAAGGGAATCCACATTCTTCTCAGTTTGGTGTTCTTTCTACTCAACTAATTCCCTAACAGAGAAATGACGTAAGGAAAAATGTGTTTCTGGAAGAAATGTGTCCTGAAATTCTGGGAGCCCATTACTCAGATGGTGGGAAATGTCCTTGTCTCCAGGCTGTCTGCCAATTCTTCCATGGATCCAGAGACCTGGGCTTGCACCTCAGCCTGAGAGAGTATGGGTGGGGGCTGACCCTTCTGGGCTCCAGGCTCCTCAAGGTGGTTAGTTGTGACCCAGAGTGCACTCCATCTACCCTCCTAGAGTTTTAAAAAAGATCAGCTCAAATAACACCATGAAAGCCTTCCGAGAAGTACACTGCCCTCTAAGAACATCCAGTGAAGAAGGTAAGAACTGGTTTGATTTGGGGTGACTCCTATTTTAATTCTCATCCCCCCGCTCTCCCCCTCTCCTACCAACTTCCCCCCACCCACAACGTCCCTTCTCTTTCCCACCCCCACCATACATTCACATCTGATTTCTATTCCAAAGAGACCTTGACTTCAGCCCTCAGGTCATGAAATATTCAATTCACTTGGACACTTTTTAATTAATCTGGGGTTTGATTCAGGCCATTGCGCCTTGACTCCTGCCTCTATAACCCTTTCCAGGATCCAATTAGCCAGCTTTGAGCACTGCCCTGGAGACCCAGATAAGACCAGAGTCCCTGCTCTCTGGGAATGGGTTTGCTGAGGCATCTGCAAACATTCTCTTTGCCATCCCTCCACGCATGCCTACAAGAGGTAGTAAGTGTGATAAGATCTGTCCTATAGGAAAGTCAAAGGTGAATTCTGAAGGATGAGAAAAGAAAAATGCAAACCAAAAGCAACCGATAGCTCAGGCAGCAACTATCCAGATGATTAACAGGCTGGCTGGATCAAGGATACAGATGTGCCATCAGAATTCCACGGTTGTCCTCACCTGACTCTTTTCAGTAATCCCACCTCCCGTATGGGCTCAATTATCACAGGATTCATTTGCACTTGTTGACATTTTGCCCTGTTAAAAAAAAAAAAAAGTGGGCTTTTCATTGCTATTATTATATTGTGCTAGTAGGTTTTGTCTCACAGGTTGAATCCTAAATAAAATTAAACACACCGATGCACATAAGACTTTTAGCACAGTGCCAGGCACATGTTAAGTGCTTGACAAAGAATGGGTATTTTGATTGATTACTGTCATAATAATTATCACCATATTTATGTTGGGGACAGACCTGGTTTTCAGTTCTGCCTGTAATGGGTCACATAATATTCAGCACTCAGGCCGTTCCTAATTAAGGTTTGCCAAGAAGCTGTAGACTGTTATTGACATTGAGTTACTATAAGATTTCCAAATAGTCTGTGTGCACCAAAGGACTCTTCTTCTTTTCTAAACTTTAATACAATCACCCAACAAATATTTACTAGGCACCTACTGAATGCCAAGCATTCCTAGGAGGCAAGACAGAAAGTGTTCTTTGCACTTCGCACTCATGACAATGACAATGGCAGGTCTTCACAGAGTAAATGGTACAGCCAGACACTGTTCTCAGATCCCTACTGCCTTCCCACACTTCATCCTTATAACTGGTCTGTGGGGAAGGGACTACTGCCAACTCCCATTTTATGGTTTATGTAGCTAGAGACTAAGGCCCAGAGAAGTAGATTAGTCTGTCCAACACCCACAGCAATGAGCAGCAAAGCTGGGATTTTTGTGTTTACAGGCAGTTTGGCTCCAGAGTCCACACAACTAACCACCAAGCAATGCTGTGTCATGTGGTTCATCTCTCTGTTAGCTATTTTTTTTAAATTTTTATTTATTTTGAGAGAGAGAGAAAGAGAGAGAGAGAGAGCATGAGCAGGGGGAGGGGCAGAGGGAGAGAGAGAATCCCAAGCAGACTCCCCTCTGAGCACAGAGCCTGACCTGGGGCTCGATAACCTGAGCCAAAATCAAGAGCCTCAACCAACTGAGCCACCCAAGCACCCCTCATCTGTTTCTATAAGTAGATTAGAATATCTTTAAACTCCATAGACACAGGAAACAGATTAGTGGTTGCCAGAGGCTAGGGAGAGGGGGAGTGAGGAGTGACTGCTAATGGGTATGGAGTTTCCATTTGGGATGACACAAAAGTTCTGGAACACAACATTGTGACTTAGCACCATTGAGTTATACACTTTAAAATGGTAGATTTTATGTTCAGGGCATTTTACCCTTCCCCCCCCCAAAATTGTTGTAGTCCTTAAGTGCAGGGTTGTCTTACCTCCTATAATACCTGGAATTTAAAAGTTCTCATCCTACATTTCTTCATCAGTTGACCAATTGCCAGTGGTTCTAGAAATGGGGCTCGCTTTGTTTTTCTCATCATCACTCTTGTGGTTACTAAAAACAGAGCCTTTTAGGAGCACAGAAGGTTCCCACCCATCTGTGAACAACGGGAGCTGACAGGGCCGGTTCTGAGGGGTGGGGCCAGGGGTTTGGCACCAGGGGCTGGAAGACCAGGTGAGGAGCTTCCCCAGAAGTGGTGACACAATGAGGGAAGATGGTATTAGATGGAGTTGAAAAGGCAGAGTTTGGAGCTGGAAGAACAGCTCAAGCTTGAGGTCTGAGGGGAAATCAGGGCTGAAAACAGAAAACCACCTCAGCATCAGGAACTGAAAGAATCTGAAGCCTTTTGGGGAAGCAGAATATAACAATAATATAAAAATGACAATCACAGTTAATCAAACCCTTAGTAGTGCTCTCCACATGCCAGATACTCTTTCAGGGATGTTCACATATCAACTCATTTATTCTTTATTACTATTATTAGTATCCTCATTTTATAAAGAAACTACGGCACAGAGAAGTTAAGTGACTTGCCCAAGGTCATACCACCAGCAAGTGGCAGAATCTGGATCCCAAGCCAAGGAGTCAAGAGCCAGAGACTGACTCTCAACCACAGGAGTTAAGGAGTTAATCTGGAGTTCAGATACTGGTCCTGCTGAGGGCTAACTGCCAGCCTGATGAGAGGAGGGGCCCACTGGAGGTGGAGGAGACAGACCACACCTGGGCCTCATGGCCCTGGGCTCACAAAGGGATCAGTCATCTACCAATACCCAGAGGTAGACAAGGGCAGCGCTTAGAAAATAGACTCTGGCCTGGAAGCCTGGCCTTGCACATCAGCTCTGCCTCTTAGCAGCCATGAGACTTTGGGCAATAACTTCACACCTCTCTGCCTCAGTTTCTTCATCTGAAATGGGGCTATAATAGTTCCTACCTCATAGAGTTGCTGTATCACATGACTTTGATTTTGGTGAAGCACTGAGAACAGCACCTGGCATACAGTTAGCGTAGAAGGTGAACACTAAGTAAAATAAATGCATCAGAGAAAATAACCACAATGTCATATATCTTGGGGGTGGGGGAAGGGGATTGAGAAAACAATGACTAGACGGGGCGGGCGGGGGGGAGATGCTCCCTGTACGTTCTGCCTTTAACAAAGGAAACCAAATCCTTGGCTGAAGAAGAACTCGTGGCTGGTGTCACATTGAAACTTACTCTTATGCCTTAAGCCACTTGGCCACATGTATACCCCCAGTTCCTGTGTTCCGCCTCCATGCTCCCCATCTGCATCAGGGAGGGAGGAGCTGCAGGCTGGCCTGCCTCAAGTTGCCCACGTGGTGATATTTAATTAATGTGCTCGTTTGATCCTTGTGTTTGCTCAGTGGCTCCCTTTTCGTGGTGCTCCCTGTGGTTTGAATATAGTAAAATTCAGCCCTAATTAATATTGTTGAAACACCAGCAGTCTGCGTTAATAAAACATCAGAATGAGACTGGATTTCCTTTTCTGAACAGAAAACACTCTGAGAGGGTGGGCAGAGTGAGCCCAGGTGGAAAAGAAGAAAGTTAAGAAACTTTCTGTTGCCAAGTGTGTGAGGATGGCATTTCTAATTCTCTCTCTTAGTCTGGGGCTGGGGGCCAAGCCTCTGTGGCAGAAAGAGCTCTAGAATCTGTGTCCAGAGATCTCCTGTCACAAACTTCCTATATGAGGTCTTAGCTAATTGAATTCCCTCTCAGGGTCTTAGTTTCTCCATCTGCAAAACAGGGGACACCAGACCAGCTAGTTCACTAGTCTGAGAACATCAAATTGTCAAGTCCTTGGATTTGGCCAAACTGAGGAACTTTTGAGCCTGTTGAAGGACCATCTGCCTCCCCAGACACTTCTCTCCTGTCACCAGCCTGAGAAAATGGCCAGAGGCAGTTCCTTCCATTCAAGTCACTGGGCTTGGGTCATGTAAGCTGCCCCAGGTCACAAGAGACTGTACCAGAGATCAGAGTCCCGGTTCCAGGCAGCACTGCAGATCCAAGGAAGGGTCTGAGGTGGTATCCTGGCTCAGGATTCTCTATATTAGGTGGAACCAGCCAGATCTAACCAGACCTTCTCTCCCAGAAGAGCTTTATCTGTTCCTCTCTCCAGGCGAGGGAAGGAGAAGCAGGGGCAGGCTCAGCCAAGGCTGCAAGCATGAACACCAGCCAGACAAACCTGGGTGTAAAATCCTACTGGTACCTCCCTGTCCCGTACCAGCTACATGACTTTGGATGGACATGTGGGTACTCTTTCTGTGCTTCAGTTTCTTTATATGAAATGGGAGTAAATCCCTTCTTCACAAGGTTGTTGTGAGGATTAATAAGATAACTGATGTCAATTATGTAGCACAGGGTCTGACATATATTAGCGCCCAGTCATGGGTAGCTGTGGTTACCACTGATGGCAGTAGATGAAGAAACAGGAAAGAGGGAGGCGGGACGGAGGGAGAGAGAGAAACAGAAGGCAAAAGCTTAAGAGACACAGAGAAGGCAAACGGCAAGAAGGGTCCTATAGGTGAAGGCCCTGCCTTGCATGCTCTCTGCCTATGTGCTCTGGTGGGACTCCATCCCCCTTTCCAGCCATAGAGCTGTGATAGGCCCAAGCTAAGCAGAGCTTCACATTCTCTCTGTCATTACCATTGGTCCAGAAGTGAGCACAAGACCAAAGCCAGCCCACCCAGGCTCACTCTGGAATATCCAAGATGCAGAGTTCAGTCTCTTCTCCAGTTTATATGCCAAATCAAATTCCACTGACCCTTTTGTGATTTTTGAGAACTCTCAGAAATTTGCTGGCTGGATCATAGGAAAGGATCACATCACAAAGCAAGTGGCTTTCCACTAAATCACTATCATCACCTTGCCTGAAACTTATTGCCTTCCCCTCTTGTCACTCCCCTCCACCCCATAGCAACCCTGGAAATCCATCCAGGTGCTTCCAAGAATGAGCTTGAGCAATGAACACGAACCAGTGTGTTTTCCCAACAAAGTTTCCTCTTCTAAAGAGCAATTCTGGTTAAACCAAATGTCCTCTGTCTCACTTTGTGAGTCAAGTGCCAGGTAAGCCCTCCATCAGCACAGGACATTATCAGAGCAGTTCCTGGGCAGGAGATACGATGGATACAGCATTGCCTGATCCCCCTCATTTTCCTGGGATATTGCTCCTACTCCTGGAATCAGTATCTTAGGTAGAGAGAGCAAAAAGGCTTTCCACCCTGGTTCCTAGAGCAGAGAGACCGTGATGCTCTCATTCAACTTAGGGTTTTAGGGTTTTCAGGTCTCACTGCTGCCAGAATCACCAAGGTTAAACATTCCAAAGGAAGACTGGAATTAATAACACCACAACGGCCTTACACTGACTGTGGGTTCCCCCTGCTACTTAATAGAATGAGTCATTTGAACTGCCTCCCCCTTCATTGATGGCAAGGGGCCTGATTCTCCCCCTGACAGTCCTTCCCTTTCTAGGAAAAGACGAGAGAAGCTTATTGAATTCTAATATATCATCCTGGCAGCCAGCATCAATAGAGAGAGACAGATGTGAGAACAGAACACAGAGCCCCATATCCATCCTCGAAGTCCCCCCACCGCTTCTTCCTCTTCTCAGCAAATCTACTCAGGCACCCCCAGGGAAGATGAGAGTTCATTATGAACAGCAACCAAGAGTCAATAAATACATGGGACTGAGATTTCAGTCCCCTACTGTGGCTGTCCTTATCGCCAACAAAGTAACTACATGGTCCCAGACTGGTTTGTGGGGTGGGGACAGGCGGCAGGGAGCTCAAAAAAGCTTTGCAGCCAGAAGGATCTTTTCATAAAGCAAACCTGATCATGTCAAACATCTCCACTTTGCTTAAAATTCTTCAATGGCTCCACACTGTTTCTAGGATAAAGACCAAAAACATTTAAATGGGGGTGCCTGGGTGGCTCAGTCAGTTAAGTGTCTGATTCTTGATTTTGGCTCAGGTCATCATCTCAGGATCGTGAGATTGAACCCCACTCTGGGCTCTGCACTGAGTGTGGAATCTGCTTAAGAGTCTCTCTCTCCCACTCTCTTCTGCCCCTCCCCCTCACATTCTTTCTTTAAACAAAACAAAACATTTACTACAGCTTACAAGATTCTACAGGTTTGTCCCCTGCTGACCTATCTAACCTCATATCCAACATGCCCCACACCATTCTCAACCACTCCAGCCATACTTAGAGTCTTTTGTTCCTTCCGTGGCATAGGGGGCCTCCAGAGCTCAGATCATGTATCACCTACTCGCTTTGGTATGACTCCTACTTTAATTTAGTCATACAGCCTTGCACTTGCCCTTCACTGCATCTGTCACAGCCTGCAATTTTATCCTTTCTTATCTAATGATTGGGTTGATGCTTTCTCTACCTGATGCTATGCAAGCTCCATGTTTTGTTCACCAAGTATCTCCAGCTTCTAGCACAATGCCTGGCACAGAACAGAAACTCAGAAGATATGTTCTGAATGAATGTATGAGTGAATGAGTTATAAAGTAGGGCACATTCTGAGAGCTGGAAGCTGGAACTGGAGCTAAAACAGTATGTAGAGCTGGGTGAGAGAAGAGGGAAGTGAGGTAACATGCAGGAGACTGCAGACCACCCATTATTCAGCACCTACTGTAAGCTAGGCACTGTTTGAGGCACTATGGATACACAAATGAATAAAACAGCACATGTTCTACCCTTATGAAGCTTACGTTTGAGGTCATTTCCCTCTCATGCTGTAGGATACCTACAGAGCAATATTCACCCTGGAAGTATCTCCCCTTGTAGTGTTATTCTAAGTTGTGGCAAGAATAAAATGCACACATAACCAGGTGTAAGGGGCCTCCCATGGGCAACCTCCACAGCTGGGATCTCATCCATGGGGAGGCCAAGTTAAGTATTTCAACACATCCCCAAAATAAATCCACTCCAAAACCTGTTGATAAGAAGTAGGTGGCTTCCTCCAAATCCAGTAGAGGCATAGGGAAGGAGGTTAAAATTGCATAACATAGAACTGAAACATCAATAATTTCCCTCCTTTAACAGCCCAAGTCCCTCACCCCTACCAGCCACTTCATCTCTCTTCTCTCCCTCCTACACTGCTTCTCAAAATTCCTTGTGTCCTGAGTGATTTAGCATTCATCTTCAGCTTGCAAATTTGCCTGATAGTCACCATCTACCATTCATCAAACATGCCTCCTGGTTTTGCTGCCATATAAACACTGATCAAATATGGTAGACCTCTTATTAACAGTTTGAATTTGCCTATGCTCCACAATCCCTGGATGAGTCACTGTCACATGGGGACTTGTTCCTCACACTAAGAATTCTGGCCTTTGCCCAGAAGGCCATGTGGAACACAGGAGGTTTTCAGTAGGGGTGTGACTATGGACAGATTCCCCCTACCGCACCTGAGACTTCGCCTCAGCTGCCAGGAAGAATCTGAATGCAGCTGTGGGTGTCCTTCTAGCATTAATTAAAGCTCTGCCTAAGGCCCAGCTGCAAAGAAGCCCACGGGGTGCAGCACAGAGGGGGAGCAGCTGCAGCTTCAAAGAACCTGCAAGCAGCTCTAAGCATGTTAGACCTCCCACTGTAAGGGCATCTTCCTGCTGGAAGCAGGGCTGGGGTCCCCATGGGGAAGGGGCATCTCTGAACGAAAGCTAAAAGGTTTCTGCTTCCCATAGAAAAGGGAAATAGTTATTTCCTTGGGAAAAGTCTATAAAGTAGAATCTTCCCTAGGATCCCTTCTCTCAGATCTCCTTTTGGAGCTGATGCCTGCAGTTCATGGCTCTTCTATAGGGGGCTCCCTTCACATTTAAGGCAGGGAGTTGTGCAACATGGCAGCCCTACCTCCCACCTCTTGAAGCCAACCTCCTGTGGCTCCAGGGGGCTCAGAGAATTGTCTAGTACAACTATCATAATTATAAAAATAATTGCAGCTGCCATTTCTGGAAAATTTACCAAGGCAATCTGCTTAACATGCACCATCTCCATTAAGCCTCACAATAATCTGGTGAGATGGAGACTATTATCACCATTTGGAAGAACAGGGAGCTAAGGTTTACATATACTATCAAGTCCTGGACTCCCATTTTAAAAGCTATGTGATGTTGAGCAAGTTACTCACTTAACCTTTCTGCTTCAGTGACTTTCATTGACTCAAGATGCATACAAAAGTCTTTCTCTGAATGCAGCCCTCATCCTTATCCCCATGCCTCCTATCCAGTCTCAGAGTGATTCATGGACCATTCTCTGGGAAATGGCAGCAGCTGTGGTCTGAGCCTTCAGGAATCCCGGGAGAAGGAGAGGAAATATCCCACTCTGGAAATAATGAAGGCTTGAAGCCTTGCAGAAACACAGGGTCCTGTAGCATCCTCTTTGCCCAGGCCTGGCTGCTGAGAATTCACCTCTGCATTCAATAAACACTTACACCAGCCAGCAGATAAATATCCTAGAAGGCAAATCAGACTCATCTTTCATCTGGTTAAAAATACCACCGCTGGCTCCCTTTCTATTATAGAACTCATTGGTAGCCAGCAATAAACATGAAATCCAGCAAACTTTGGCGGGGGTGGGGAAGGTGAGAGCACAGGGAATTTATGATGGCTTATGGGAGTTACTAGGAACTCCTGGTAGCATGGGGAGAAAAAGAAATTAAATTTCAGTGAGCCTAGTCCTGAAAGGGCAATTTAGTAGACCACATAAGGAAACAGCAGAAAGTGTGGAGGAAGATCTAGCTTCAGGTACCACTGGAGCCAGGAGCTCAAATGCTGCCAGGTCTCAATAGCTCTCATTTCTGTTTCTCTCTAAAAGCTGCCTTTATTTTTCCCATTCACATGGGCCTTCATCCAAAGGGAGCATGACTGTAACAACCCCAGCTTTATTGCTTTCATTTGAGTGACCAAGAAAGGAAAGGTGGGCTTTTTTACTTAAGGCTGAGTTGAAGAATTTGTGGGAAGAGACAGTGGCCAGACCAAAAAACATCTGCACTATTAAGGATGGCTATAGATCTCATTGATATAACAGAGTCCCCATATGACAGTAGGTTAAACAAATTAGCTATTTTTCTCCCATATAATAGTCCAGATATAAGCAGGCCACAGCCTTACAATGACTCCATCTTGTCCAGGACCCAGGCTCCTTCCATCTTTTTGCTCTGCCATGCCTCACCTGCACGGTCTAAAAATGCTCACCACCACATCTACAATCTGGAAGGAAAAGGTGAGTGAGGAATCAATACTTGGCTTTTAGGGCACAACTGAGAAATTATACACATCAATTCCACTTACATCCTATTGGCCAGAATATAGTCCCATGGCCACACCTAGTTGCAAGGGAAGCTGGGAAATGTAGTCTTTAATCTAGGCAGCCATGTACTGCACTAAAAACTAGGGTTTATTATTGCTATAGAAGGGAGGATGTATATTTAGGATGTAATCCATCTCTGCCACAGACATCTAAGGGCAGAAAGGTTCTGGGAATTAAAACCAGAGTATGACCTGGAACTAAGAATTATTCCCATCTCCATCACTCTTCTGTTTCTGTTGGATGTCTGCTTCATTAACCTCACCCTTCTCAGTTTTGAGCCCCTTCATGTCCAGAGCAGGTAGCCTATGGCCACCTCATCATTTCTAGGCTTATACAAACAGTGAAGTAAAATAAGACCAGCTAGGCTCCAATATAAGTGGAACTTGGAACAAGTATTTACTGCCAAGTGGATTTATGATTTAACTCTGAGCAAGAAAAGGGCAAATAACAACATAATGAGTATTAGCTCACAAAAAATAGATGTAAAGTTATGTTAATAAGAGAAATATTAAATTATGCAGATCAGAAGGATGTGTATATAGCAGGGGTGTAGTCTGGAAGTAAAGTAATTGTTGGGGTGATGAGATCAGTTTCATTCTAAATACTCTAGGGAATAACGAGCCTCAGAAACCTAGAATAGAAAGAGATGCTCCAAACTATCTACAGATAAAAAGCAGTCTCCACAGCCCAGTCAGCTGGCCCTGAGTTGGAACTGCCCTCTATGGACATCAGTAACCAAGGTGGAAGGGAAAAGCCCTTGACTGTCACAGCCTAAGGCTGGTAAATGTGCCAGATACCAGAAAAGACCAGTGGGTATGGAGACTTAATTTTGGTGGGATGTGTTGGAGGACAGGGGTGTGGATCCAAGAATGGGAGGGAAAGCAGGAGGGTGGGGTTACTCCAGAAGAAAGGGAATAAAGGGAGAGGGCTTAAGAAGGGTGGGAGAGAAAGGAGAGCATTGGGATAGAGGGACCATCCACATGGGACATACTCAAAGTCCTGGGGCATTCTGAGAAGGGCCTGTGGTCAAGATGGTCAGAATGAAGCCCTGCTGCCCCAGATACTGCAAGTTTGATACTTAGCACCTGAACCCTGAATCCCTGAGCAAAGAACTGCTCAAACTTCCTTCCATCAGCGTCCAGTGTACATGCATTCGATCTGGGAACAGCAGCAATGTTGTTTCCAGAATGAGGAGAGAAGCAGTCCCCTCCTCTACCACCAGGCATCAGAATGTTACCATGTGGATGGTGAGGTGGTGGGGAGGGGCCATCCTTTGGGGCCCGCTGAACAGGATCTTTCTGCAGACCACAGCCAGATGCCCAAATCTGTTAGTTAGCTAGAAACCCACTCTATTCGTTTACTAGGGCTTCCATAACAAAGTACCACAGAGTAGGTGCCTTAAACACTGACATGGATTTTCCCTCCATTTTGGAGGCTAGAAGAGACTAAAATCAAAGTGTCAGTAGTGTTGGTTTCTTCTGAGGTCTCTCTCCCTGCCTTGTCCATGGCCATCTCCCTGTGTCTTCCCATGGTCTTTGGTCTGTGTGTGCCTGTGTCCTAATCGCCTCTTCTAATAAGGATGCCCGTCATACCAGATTAGGGCCCAGTCCAATGACCTCATTTAATCTTAATTACCTTTTCAAAAACTCTGTCTCCAAAGACAGTTACATTCTAAGGTTAGCACTGGGGTTAAGGACTTCAACATACGAATTTTGGGGCAACACAATTCATCCTATCACCTCTGTACTAATGAACCAAAAAAGGACCTTACCTAGTGATTTCACATGCCATATATTAGCCATTCTAGAGAAGGACAACTCTTTCTCAGCTCTAATTACAAATCATGGGAGAGAGGATTTGGGGTTGGTCCAGATGCCCATCCCCAGTCCCATCAAGCCAAGGATGTGGGCTCATCAAGAACAAACATGGTTGGGCAGTGGTGCTGGGAGCCTCGCGGGCACGGCACCATTACTCGCAGTCGGCTGGCGGCAGCGGCACAGCGCTGAGCGCACGTGGCACCTTAGCAGTGGCAGCAGCAGCAGGGAGGCACCCCCACCGGCACAGCCCCTGCGCTGGTGCAGCCACCTTGGCTCCCTCTGCTCCTCTTCCCTTCGCTCACCAGGGCCGATCAGCTGACTCAAGAACAGATTGCTGAATTCAAGGAAGCTTTCTCCCTATTTGACAAAGATGGAGATGGCACCATCACAACAAAGGAACTTGGAACTGCCATGAGGTCACTGGGTCAGAACCCAACAGAAGCCGAATTGTAGGATCTGATCAACAAGGTGGATGCCAACGGTAATGGCACCACTGACTTCCCAGAATTTTTGACTATGATGGCTAGAAAAATGAAAGATACAGACAGCAAAGAAGAAATTCACGAGGCATTCCGAGTCTTTGACAAGGATGGCAATGGTTACATCAGTGCGGCGGAGCTACATCATGTCATGACCAACTAAGGAGAAAAACTAAGAGATGAAGAAGTAGATGAAGTGATCAGAGAAGCAAATATTGATGGAGATGGGCAAGTCAACTATGAAGAATTTGTACAGATGATGAGTGCAAAATGAAGGCCTACTTTTAACTTTTCCCCCTTCTAGAAGAATCAAATTGAATCTTTTACTTAACCTCTTGCAAAAAAAAAAAAAAAAGCAAGCTCATTTACTCATTTTGTTTCTATATAGCAAAACTGAATGTCAAAAGTACCTTCTGATCTTGCCATTTGCAACGACATGGATGGAACTGGAGGGTGTTATGCTGAGGGAAATAAGTCAATCAGAGAAAGACATGTATCATATGACCTCGCTGATATGAGGAATTTTTAACCTCAGGAAACAAACTGAGGGTTGCTGGAGTGGTGGGGGGTGGGAGGGATGGGGTGGCTGGGTGATAGACATTGGGGAGGGTATGTGCTATGGTGAGCGCTGTGAATTGTGCAAGACTGTTGAATCACAGATCTGTACTTCTGAAACAAATAATGCAATATATGTTAAGGAAAAAAAAAAAGAAGATAGCAGGAGGGGAAGAATGAAGGGGAGTAAGTCGGAGGGGGAGATGAACCATGAGAGACGATGGACTCTGAAAAACAAACTGAGGGTTCTAGAGGGGAGGGGGTGGGGAGATGGGTTAGCCTGGTGATGGGTATTAAAGAGGGCACATTCTGCGTGGAGCACTGGGTGTTATGCACAAACAATGAATCATGGAACACTACATCAAAAACTAATGATGTAATGTATGGTGATTAACATAACAATAAAAAATTAAAAAAAGAAACAAAAGTACCTCCTGTCCACACACACAAAATCTGCATGTATTGGTTGGTGGTCCTGTCCCCTAAAGATCAAGCTACACATCAGTTTTACGATATAAATACTTGTACAACCTTAATGATAAGGAAGCACCTAGTGGACTCCTTGCATTTCCATTTGCTCATGATTAATACACTGTTTGGGCTGGCCAGTTTTTCATGCATGCAGCTTGACAACTGAACACAGTCAGGCATTTGTATTAAAAACTAAAAATGAAAAAACAAATCTAAAACTTCTTCAAATAGATTCTAGTTCAATTTGTTACTATAAATTGTCATAGCTGATTTACTGAAAACAAAACATTTAAAATTGGCTTACCTCAAGATGCTGTGCAGAAAAATGGGTGAAGGATAAACTATCTAGACGCAGCCCCACTTAGCAGGACGGCCCTCTCATACTTACAGGCACCCCCACCCATGGTGACCATGACACTCATCCCAGTGGCATGCCATGTGTGTTGGTTTAGCATTGTCCTAGAGTGAAATGGGTGTCAGGCTGTCACCATTCACACAAATTTTTTTCTTAAAAAAAGAAACCTTACCAAGGGAGCATCTTGGGACTCTCTTCTTTTAAAACCTCCTGAACCATGACTTGGAGTCAGCAGAGTAGGTTGCGGCTGTGGACTTCAGCACAAGCATCAACACTGCTGATCAAGAAATTACAATTTACATCCATTCCAAGTTGTAAATGCTAGTCTTTTTTTTTTTCCCAATAAAAAAGGCCATTAACTTAAAACAAACAAACAAACAAACATGGTCGTCAAGATTCTGCCTATGGGTGGTGACAACAGGCTACTGGTCTGTGACTTTGACAGACACCCCATGTTGCCTATCAGAATCAACTCAAGCTCCTCATAGGGCATACAGAATCCTTCACTCACTACCTCCTTAATCTCAGCTATATCCCCTACTGCCCTTGCACGAATTCCACTCTTCATCCATGCTACAGGTGTAATTCCCTGCATTCACCTCACTGTTTCATGTCTCTAGGCCTTTACTCAGACTGTTCACTCTATCTACCAAGCCTTTCCTCTCCAACAGCTTTGTCTGCCTGACAAGCTCCCACTTGTATTGCAAAGCCCAAGTGGAGCATTTCCTTTGCAAAATCTTTCCTGACTTCCTGAAGAGTCAGCCTCCCTCTTTTGTTTCATTCTGTGCCTTGTATGTACCTTTCATAACACTTAGAACACTGAGTCATAACTTTTGTTAGATTGCTTTTCTCTTGTAGTAGACTCTGGGTTCCAGGATAATAGGGAAAATTTACCTTACCTACCCACAAATCTAGCACAGTGCTTGCTTTGTACTCAAAAAATATTTGTGGAATGAATGAATGTTATCAACTGGGCTCAATGGTATACAGTTTATTAAAAAATACAAGCCCCTGACCTTTAGGAAACTCTGAGTGACTGAGGGAGACATTAATATGAGTAATGATTATAAAAATAAAGATATAAACCAAGGGCTAAGGAAGTGCAGAGGAAGCTGCCATTTAAACTGGGAGAATTGTGGAAGGCTTCTGGGAGGAGGTGACAGAGTGTACACTAAGGATGAGTAGGAGTTTGCCCAGTGGTGTTAGATGGGGAGGAATAACTGGAAAGAGAAGGCCATATTGAGGAAGGAATTAACAAGACCTGGGAAAAGGATCTTGCCAGACTTGTAGGTGCAACACAGCATAGTTATAGGAACAACAGGGCCATGGATCCCAGGTAAGGACAGCATCATCTTGGTGTTCTGAGAAAAGGGGTCCCCAGTCATATCTGGGCCTTTTGGGCATTCTCAGGAACAAGCTGGGAAGAGAGAATTGCTTTGTGATTGTTACTCATGGAGCCACCGACTCCTTAGGGCATCCATCCAGAGTCTCCACCTCTATGGATTTTCTCAGGAGAGAGTGAAAGACGCTTGGGGTTGCCAACAGTCTTGGAGCCAGAGAAGCCCAGCCTTAAGAGTCTGGAGGCTGCACTGACCTCCCCCACTTCATCCCTAAATGACAGAGAGAGGAGGTGGCCCAGCTGAGCCTGAAATGAGACATTCACCTTCTGCCACTTCCACTCCAACAGAACTCTTTTTTTAAACCTCTGATTTCACTGTACTCTGATAGTCACAGACAAGTCAATTCACCTCTCCGAGCTTCAGTTGTTCATCTGAGAAAAGGTGATAATGGCCCAAAGAGGTATTGTGCAGATAAAAATTAACTCAGGTCAAACACCTAACACATGCCTGACATCTAATAGCCACTCAGTTTGCAATTAATTTTTTTTTCCCCCAAAAGAGGCGAAACCTTTATCAAGTCGGTGCCAGCGCGGTATCTGCAGTATCTACAAATATCTACACGTATCTACACCGCCTGCAGACGGGCTCTCAGGTCGTCTACACTGCAACTGCCAGCCAGGCCGGGGGTGGGGGTAGGAGGGGGCGACGCGGTCTCGCGTGCAATTAATTTTTTAAAGAAAAATGTGCTTGTCTTACCTCCCCTGTTCTAGAACTATAAGTTCCCATGCTGTCTAGCATATATTTATTGCTCAATAATGTATGTTAAATCAGTGACTGCCTAGAATCCTAGACTTTTCGGACTGGGTGATATCTAAGAAATTAGCTACTCTAATCCCTCTTTTGACAAACAAAAGAAATAGAGACTCCTGACTCTACCACATGTAATCCTGGCTATTGCTTGCCCAGTTTCCTTACCTGTAAAAATGGAATAGCTATTTTAATGGATTATCCTGGGGATTCAATGAGTAAATACATATGAGGCATTAAGAGCAGTATCTGGCACATAACAACCATCAATAAATGTTAGTGCTATTATAAGATGATGGAGACTGGCCCAAGGCCACACAGTGAGTAAGCAGTGAGCCTGAAGCTGGAGCCATGTTCTTCTGCCTTCCACGTTCTTCTATCACTTTCCCCATTATACCCCACTGCTTTTGATGGGACCAGATGCTCCATATCCTAGTTCCTGAATTTACACGTGGTGTGGAATTCACATGGTCTATCCCATGTCCTGATGGAATGCAGGCTGACCCTAATTCCTAGGGAGGACTTCCCAGCCAATCTGATCATCAGCCAAACCAAGGCCATGACCAGCTCAGTGTCCCACCATCACTGAGTACTTTCTTTGCTTGCAAAATGCTGAACTATTTTCTCTTCAATTACATAGATCAATTTATCTCAATCAGGCCAAATTTTGCCCTGCAGAGGACATCTGATAATATCTGGAGACATTCTTATTTGTCAAACTTAGGATAGAGGGAGATACTGGCATCTACTGGGTAGAGGCCAGGGATGCTGCTACACTAACCCTATAGTGCATAGGACAGCCCCCACAATGAAGAGTTATTCAGTTCACAATGTGCCTGAGCTGCTGCTGAAAAGCCTAATGTAGACAAATATGCATTCAGATGCAAATGTGTCTGTTTCACATGTGTTTTCTAGCTTCATAAACAGCAGATTGCAGAAAAAACAGTAGGTTTGACATGAGAGGCCAGGGTTCAAATTCCAGGTATGCCACTTTCTAGCTGTGTGATCTTGACACGATACTTGTCTGAGCTAGTTTCCTCATCTGTGAACTGGAGATAATTATGCTATAGCGAAACTTTTTGATGATACACAGAAAGCACCGAGTAGGTGCCTAAGACATAATAGGTAGGTAGTAGGTGGCATCCATTATTATTCACCTCCTCATTTTTGTAAGGTATATATATAAACATAGATACTTGAAAATGTTGGTTGGGGATGAGCCAGAACTTAGCTGACAGAAGACAGATGAACAGATGTTGACAGATGGCTTAAGGCCAAGGAAGGCTCTAAGGCAAGAGATGAGACCTTGGCCAAGGTGAATAGGAGGGAGTTGAGGAAGAGATGGTAGAAGAAAGAATCCATACAGTTATAGGAAATTATTATTCATTCATTTTAAAAAATGTTATAGACCAGGCTCTATGCTGTGCATTTTACAGACATCATTCATTAATTCACTCAGTAAAAATTTAGTGAGGGCATCTACTATGTACTAAGCACTAGGTACTAAGCACTGTGTTCATATTTTTATTCGGTAGTTATTCACTGAGTACCTACTCTGTAGTGACATTATATTTCCATTCCATATACATTGCTCCCTTCCCATTCATTCATGCACTCACTCACTAATTTGTTATTGAATTAACTCTTCCAACAATTGTTTATAAGAACCCATGCTATACCAGATACTATCTTATCAGCACTGATAAAAGACTAAAAGCTCTAGAAAGGGAAGAGATGGGTCACTCATGGACCTTCATCTAGAATGAGGAAGCAAAGGGAAGCAAGCAGAGCAAAGATCCTGGGTTTTATAGAATCACGGCACAATCTACTTAATGATCAAAACTTTATGGGCAGAAGGCTCTGTGGGGTAGAACTTCATTTTCCCAAGACCCCCAGGATGGCAATGATATAGATATGAATGATAAAGTCTGAGGTCTAAATTAGAATGGATAGGTGATTTTCTAGGGTATGGTTGCAGAGAATATAATCCACTTCAGCTACTAAAGCACAGATCTCTTGGGTTTTGGGCCATGTGCACTGCAGAGATGGATTTTAGAATCCTTGGGACAACTGAAGACAAAGCTTCTAGACTGAGCTTCTAGGAGTGACTCCTAAAACAACACAGCAGAACTGAGCCCCCAAAGGATCCTCTGCTCCCACTATACTGAGGAAGCTGCCTGCCAAGCTAGGAATATGTAAGCTATAGGTCCAAAGTGCCTCTGCTATGCATGGCACCAGCAAAAAGTGTGCCTCTTACCTTGCTCCCCACTTAACTCAGTTCTGAAGCTGACTTTCAAGCAAGTGTGTCTAATTTTCAGAAATCCTCTCTGGGAGATGTACTTTTTTCTAGGAAGAAAAGCACCTTTAAAGGAAGTTGTAATGAAAGTGGATTGAGCCAACTAACAGTTTTCCTCACAGGAGATTAGTTTAGTTGTAAATCTGTGATAAACCGGATTCTGTAACAAATTTAACACTGTAAATTACCACCAGAATACACTATTCTATGAGTGGTTTAAGTTCTCCCTTTAAAAGACTGGCTGAGTACAAGTATGCTAATGACCCATTCATTGTGGAGTCCAAATGACTTAGAATTTCTATGAATAGGGACCAGGAATCTGTATTTTTTTTAAAACTCTTCTGGTAAGCTCTCTGATCAGCACAATTTGAGACCACTGAGAAAAGCTAATTCATACCACATGGCTTGATTAACCCTCTCGGGAATATGTGCGTCTCAAGAGAAGATAATTACCTGTAACTCCAAAAGAGTAGATGGTCTCATGACAGAGGGACCCCGTCAGCAGAAAAGAGCTTTCTAGTTTCATCAAACTAAACCAGGGGGGCACCACTCATTTTGAAATGTAGTCAAATCTTTCTTAAGAGTTTTTTAGAACTTTCCCCTGCCTTTAGACAAGGAGTACCAACAACGGTAACTAACCAGATAGCTGCAAAGTTAGATCTCGAGAACTGAAATCAGACACACATCTAATAAAAGAAAT